ACTAGCGTTATTTTCATTATTTTCCAAGTAAATCTTAAATTTTAACTAACGGATGAATGCGAATTATTTTCGTAATGTTGTTGTGGTTAAAGTTGCGTTGTATAAAAGTCGCAGGTGAGACGTTCTCTGCTGTAGTTTATAGACGGCTCGGCCGTTATTGTTTTTGTAAAACCTTAGGGTAAAGGAAGCCATATATTTCGCGGTGGAAATTGGAAGGCAGAAGAACGACACACTTAATTGAGTCTCACAACTCCCTTACTTACCGCTTGCTTTGCCATCTAAAACTGGGCAAATCCGCGGGTGCCAATAAAACATCAAGCTTAGAAACCAAACGACCCCGGGGCAAATTAATTTAAATCCCCTCCCTTCAGCTTTTGCACACATAACCCAACGGAAATAGTGGTGAAGTTATGTGTGGTCCACGCCTCCCCTTCAAAGGAGAATTGTTGTGTAAACAAGGTAACTAATTCAGAGGGTGTGTCGGTTTTCTCTCCTCGTCCACTTATCAATAGTAAAAGAAGATGGTGTTACAAAAACTTACAATTAGGTGGTATTCTTTTTAAATCATTGCTACAAAATTGAATTATTTACTTTTTAAATCGACTCTTCTCTGACAAACGTTAATTTTAAAGTAACTATTTTATTCGGATTTACTGTTCGTTGTGTTTTAGATTAATTAATTCAGTAGTTTATTTAACAAAGTGCAATATTTTATTTTCTACTTAATTGCTCTTTTGCGGAATATTTAAAATAGGACAAACAACTATTTGTCTTAATTGGTTTATTCAATAAACGCTTTTTAACCACTTAAATATTTAGATAAATTCGTCTTGATAGAATGAACTTTAATTTAACCGTTAATTTTTTTTTTTAAGTGACATTTTTCAATTAAATACTCATTTGAATTAGAATACTTAACACATAATACATTATTAAAATAAGTGCTGACAGCATTGTTAAAGTTGTCAGTTCTCAATTTTATCTGTTTTATTAACTTATTTGATCGATAGTATTTGACTGACTATCTTAATGTTTAATTTATTTATTTTCAATAAACTTATTATAATTATTATACTCTTTAATATATAGTATCTACTATATAATAATTTTTTTTAATTCTCTTACAGGTGTTGCGGTTAAAGAACCATCTTTGTTTATCAAGCCAACTCAACCCAGACAAACGAAACCCATCGGTTCTTCTTTGATCTTAAACTGCCAACCCAATGTAGATCATCCAGAACTCATCAGCAACTTAAAATGGTTGGATCCCCTGAACCGAACAATAGAACAGACTTCGTAAGTTTTATTACACTAGTTATGTGTTTATTATAATTTAGATTTAATTACATTGCTTTTCGTGTGGTGTTTCATTAAATTTTTAGTACCGCTGGTGCACATGTCACTACAACATTAACATCCGACAACAATTTAGGACTTATAATTACAGGCCTTACTGAATCTGATGTTGGAACTTACACATGTACTGCCACCTATTCTAACTCANTGAATCTGATGTTGGAACTTACACATGTACTGCCACCTATTCTAACTCAGAATATTTAAGTCATAGTGTAGTCGTCGACAGTTTCGGTAAATCATCTATATTTAGTTCATTAGTGTAGCTAGAAATTAAATTTTTGAAAAAGAGAAATAACTTGATTTTATTTTTAGCTATTAATTATTTACAATTTTACTTATACTTAATATTCTAAGTAACGGGTTTTGTTTTAATAGTTTTATTATTTCTAAATTTGTCTTTACACCCTAATTATGGTGCCATTAATATTTCATATTGACTGAATATTGCGTTTAACGCTTTAATTGATTTTTCATTTTACTCAGATGACATAACATTTTTGAATGCTCCCACTGAACAGTATCCAATTGCTGGTGCCAGTTATAAAATACAGTGCAAAGTAAAAGCTAACCCGGCACCTTTGGTCGACTGGTATAGAGAAGATACTAGAATTCAGGATAGCAATCGATTTGTCAAAGAAACCGATGGTTTAGTCATACAAAATGTAACAGCTGAAGATGATGGAATTTATAAGTGTAGAGCAATTGTTTTAGACACTGGAAATATTCAAGATAAGAATATTAGAGTAGAGGTATGATACACAATATGAATTGCTGTTCATATTATCAATTCGTAATTGATAAATAATTTCTATATTTATTTATGAATGATCACTTAAAAAAAAATAATAATAATAATGTCATATATTAATTTTATTTAAACATAAATCAATAATAGAAAATATTAATTATGCTGTTGTTATAGGTTTTAGACTAGATAATTCTAGAATTGTTAATATGGAATTATATTATTAATATTTATCTTAATTGGTTTAACCAAACTAATAGGTACACATTCCACCAACATTTGTGCCCAACCAAGTTTCCCAACTTGAATTAGTAGAAGGTGAAATGGCTAGTGTCCAATGTACAGCTAATGGAAAACCAGAACCAAAAATTACTTGGATACATGTGCCTGAGCAGCGAGATTTGAGTGAAGGATCTGAACGATTTTCAGTGAATAAACTGACTGGTGTGTTAAATTTAAACAAAGTAAGCCGAAACGATAATGGCAAGTTTAAATGTGTGGCAACAAATGCAGCTGGAACTATAGAAAGATTAGTAAATGTGGTGGTACTAATTAAACCTGAAGTATTGGACGTCACTAACGTTTCAGTTCCTCTCAACAGAGAAGCAAGAGTACAATGTATGGCAAATGGAAACCCTCTACCATCAATTGTTTTCAGGTATGAATGTTGTTATTTTATAAAAAAAAAAATAAGGTTTTTTTACTCCAAAAAATATTTGACATTTTAGTATAAATATTATTTGAAAAAAATGAATATACCATTCTATCTGGATCCCTCGTGTATGATAATTTCTGATAAAAAAAACGATTGGCTTAAATTTGGTCCTTAAATTAATTTATACGATATGTTATTTTAACATAAAAAAAATATTTGCACAAAAATGTAACATAATACATTTTTTTTTTAAATTTATTAGTTATATCAAAAGTATATTTTCTCAAGTTGATTTCGGTGTTATTCGTGTTTTTTAGTTAGCGAATAATTTATTCCATTATAGCTGAATAACCTAATCAATTTTAGGGTTTTTTTTTATCCCTCTATATTTTAGTACAAAATATGAAAGACAAAAGTATTTTTGTATAATGGATTTTAAATCAAGTCTTTACATACGAAGAGTAGCATTTTGTATAGCTTACCGAATACACGACCGTATTCAAAATTTTCATTGTGTAATACATTTTTATAACTTTCAGCTGTTTAAAAAACAGTTAATGATGATTAGTGTTTGGTGGGAAGATTTTGTTTTATTATTATTTTTCTTTAATAATTGTTTGTGTATCGACTGAATTTATCTACAAAATTAAATGATCGTTTTATCCTATTAATTTTATTAAACGAGTAGGTATTCGTTAATTTTGTCCCCTTTTTTCCTCGCATTTAATTAATTTTTTCGATTAAGTCCGAACCGTTGATTACATTTTACTTAAACTACAGGCGTTTAAATGATAGTGAAGGGTAACAAATATTAACGCTTAGTGCTCTAATTGCAGGAGAGTGGGCACAGATGTTGTAATAAAAACAGGAATCGAAGATTATCGCATTAGCGTTGAACATAATACTGTTAGAGACGTGGCGACAGCCACTCTGGTAATCAAACACCTGAACCGCACAGACGATGGACTCTACACTTGTATTGCATCCAATAAGGTACCCTCAGCTTTTAACTAATTATACCCATATTTAGTGTATNTCAGCTTTTAACTAATTATACTCATATTTTGTGTATCCATTGACAATTAATATATTTTTTGGTGCGTTGCAATAACATTATTTATTTATTTTAGGGTGGTACCTCAATGAAAAACGGGCATCTTACCGTCGAATTCCCTCCGGTTTATGCTAGCAATATGGTCAGAGAAGTATGGACTTGGAATAGTAAACCTGTGAATTTAACATGCATATCTGAATCGCTTCCTAATGCCTCGATCACGTGGCTTTTAAATAATCGCATTGTCGAAGGAGATTTAAATGTTAGGAAGTTCGGAAATGGGCCTTACAGCGATCTACAAGTAACTCCAGTTGATCAGAGATATTACGGAGTGTACAGTTGTTTAACAAAAAACATACACGGTGAAAATAATGCTCTAATAACGTTGCGAGAGGCTCATAGACCCGGAAGAGTGTCTCAAGCCAAATTCGAAGTAGTTACTGGTAAAGTATACTATTTTATTTTATTTACACTCTCTGTATTTTTATCTTTCGGCTTGTAACTATCTGTACCGTTTTATTTCCAAAAATAATTATTTAAACCTATTATAGGTATAACATGTGATAATTACACGATAATCGTAGACACCTTCACTGTCTTGTATTCTTTCTTTTTTTAATGGACAGCTGCCATAAACTGAGATACTATATTTAAAAATGTTTGCTTCGGTTGTTTGTTTGTTTTTAAGTAACTTAAAATAATATAAAATGCAAAAGTATTATCCCTTAAAAGCTTCTTTAGTTTTGGGATTTATTTTTCATCACAAATTCTTTCAAATATTGTATGAAAATATAACGAGTATAACAATTATTGTATTATTAATTTTTTTTGTATAGCTACCACAATTTCATTTGGTTTCATCGGACCGACAGATACAGGTGGTCTAAAAATCAAAGCATATGCCGTCCAATACAAGGAAGTATTACAGAATTGGGATGAAGGACGTAATAAGTCTTGGCCAGTCGGTAAGAAATAAAGTTTTTTGAAATTTTGATTTTTAAAAATACTTTATAAACCACATACATATTTCAATAATATTTTTTCAATTTTTATTAACAGATACGCCTTATATATTGGAAGGCTTATCAGCCCAGAGAACTTATCAATTTAGATTTGCCGCAATTAACGACGTGGGCACTAGTGATTGGGGAACTGTAGAACAGCGCACAATGCCAAAGCGTTCAGCTCCCGAGGAACCAAAAATTCTCTACAGCAAAGATTTGTACACCGATGACTATATCAATTCGCCTTACGGCAATAGTTACGAAGTGAACTGGAAAATACCAGCCGACAACGGCGAATTTATCGATTATTACAGCGTGACATATTGTGTGGTACTTATAGCTATATTTTATTAATACATTAATCGGTATTTAACTAGTAATTATAAACAATATAATATATATATTGAAGCAAGTAGTATTAATTTTCTTTCGTTTTGTACAGTAGATTTTTTGATTTAGAGACGAATGGCTATTTTTTGGTTTTTTTACTAATTATATGATCTTACGAGCGCGTAATACTGTCAATAATAATAATCGTCCAGTACAGGAGATTAAGCCCCTCCTGCGTCACTGGTTTTGTGTTTCACGCCATGAACGATTATTTTGATTATTATGAACACATTTATCAGAATAAAACCTTTATGTATTTAGATTGAAAAAATCAACACCGTTTGGACGCAAAAGAAAGAATCTTGTAGGACCGAAGATATCAGATCTCAAGACAGGACGTCATTTTTGATGGACAGTCTGAACGCAGATACGTTTTACAAAGTGGAGATCCGAGCTCACAACGAAATTGGATATAGTGTCCCCTCTGAGCTCGTCTTCAAAACTGCGATGGGTGAGTACGCACACGCACGTGGCAACCAACTTATTTTTAACGGCTAGCGGACTGTCGCAAGTCGACGGTGACAAATATACTAACTTGTACACGGTCCCATCGTTACTATAACAATTACGCGATCTAGAAACTTTCCGTTTGATCAGTTGATTAGCTCAATTTAAATACAGAACGGCCTGTGTTATTTACTTACTCCTCAAAACGTTGTTATATACTCATACCAAATTTCAAAGTTATATAGACCGTGTAATTATCATTATTATTATTATTATTGACCGAATTTTCAGCCTCGACGATAAAATTCTAATATTCACCGAGGTCGCAGATGTATGGAACTTAAATTATTGCTGTTTTCGAAATTATTCATTTGTCAGCTCTTTTAACTAGAGTGTCGACGTGTTATACTGCTTAATTATTTCCAACTGTTAAGTGTGTGTCCAATTAATAAATGCGCTGTCACATGATGTGTATATTTTTTAGCCGTACCACAAATAAACCCTTTTGTTTTTTTGTTAATTAAAATTTGTTCAAACTATCCTACCGCAAATACTATAATATGTCTTAATGTAATTTGTGTATACGTTTTATAATAATATGCAAATTAAGAAGAAAATTGTGATTGGTGGTTGTGTGACGCTAAATCTGTTTTTTTTTTTTTTTAATTACACGAAAACAAAATTAGTGTTTATTTATGTTTTCTACGAAATTTCTGATCGGATTTATATTTTATTTATAATTTAATGCTTGGTTAAAATTAAACTCGCATGCATTGGCTTGTCTTTTTTTTTTTTTATTTAATTGCTCATTGTTGTAACATCAATGAACAAAAATATTAATGTTACATTAAAAAATTAAAATCTTATTAAATTATAATATTAATAAATAATTGGATTTATGTTTTATTCCTGTTGTATTGTTATTATAGTTTAACTAATATTAGTTTATGTGCCTTTAAATAGATGTAATTATTGCTAGATGAAATATAAGAGTATTATATTTTGTTGTTTAACTTAGCTGTAATTTATTTTATGCTCCTTGTTCATTATTTTGTTTAAAGATTTTAAATAAAAAATTGATCTAAGCGGGAATTATCTTAATAACAGTTATTAAAAAGTGTTTCTAAATAAAAATAATATCTTTCGTCTAATAATATTAGATTTATTATATTATACTATTAGTTATATCTAACGGGTGCAAGTAGTAAATAATATTAATGCATTAATTAAGGACTATTGATTTAATTAATGGATTATTTTGCATTGAAAGCTTATAAATTCAAAATAATTTTAGAAAAATTTCAACAGAAGTTTTTGTTTTATATTTTGCTTATTTACACCTTTGCTTCTTTTTTTTTGCGTTTGGTCTATAAATACATTTGTTGTATGTTTATTATATAACTATGAAAATAAGTTGTTATGACATTTTTTTAAATGCTATTTTGTGCATGTGCACTCTGTTTGTTTTATTGAAACTTCAACAATATTTTGTGTGTTATGTGTGATTTGCAGAACATTCCAGTGTGGCCAGTTTCAATTCGGGAATCACAATCAGCCTACCATTCAAGTCTTTAATGAGTCTATCAATAGTGGCTATAATTAGCCATAGGTTTGTCTTTTAAACACAATTGCTTTCTTTTTAATAATAATAATAATAATTAATCACTCCTGTTGTAAATGTTATACAAACATTTTTTTTATCATATAAAACTTAGTTTTAAAATGTATTTAATATTTATCTGCAATCAAAGATCTTAAATGTTTTGTTTGTAAAATTACCTGAAAAAAAATTGATTCAGTTATTTTATATACTGATTAAGTAATTTACATAGATTTACCAAATTATTGCAGTCAATCTTCATGAATATAGTTTTAAGTTACTTTTGTAAATAATAGAACACTTTCGTGTTATAATTTTATTATTACAATAACATATCTTTTAAACACTTGAAATTGCAAGTAATCATTACAAATCACTTCTTGATTATAAACTTTTATTCCAGGCATCTATATGTCTTATCTTAATTGAATCACATTTTTCAAATTGAGCTTTATATTGTGTTTACATGCACTAATGTTTTTATTAAATTTAATTTTGTATTATTAGTGATACTTTTAAGTAATGAGTGGTTATGTTTTATTCGCATTTGAGTTTTAAAATGTGTCACTTTTTAGTTTGTGATTTATTATTATTTTTTTACTCTATATTGTATAGTATTGTTGTGATAACATCAAATCATTTCAAATAAATTAGTTGTTGGTTTATGTATTCTTATTATTTTTAATGTATTATAGAACAATATATAAAATAAAAATAACATCAAATTTTATTAAGAAGAATTAAAAATTACATCCTTATGTTATCGTAGTGTAATTACATAAATATATTAAATTTATTAAATTTTAAATATATATATTTTGTATAAACTTAAAATATATAATTTAATTTTTACTATTATACTAGAATCAAGACTTCCACTTAAGGTAAAATTTTATTTAGGTGTAAGAAATAAAAAGAATATATTTAGATTTTAATAAATTTATAATTGTATGAATTACCACATCATTTTTATCCTAATTTGTCATGTTATACCTTAGAAATTAAATTTAATATTACCTCCCAGTAAAAAGTTTATTAATTTAATTCTATAATATAATTATCTATTTTTGTAGCATTTTCATTAAAATAATTTTTACATTTAAAGAAATAAATGTTGTAAAATAAAAATAATGTTATGTTACTACATGCATATTGTATTTCTTTATGGTAAATTTTTACTTTGATTTTTAGATATTTCATGATTATTTAAGTCAATATATGTACCAACAAAAATGTATAAATATTATTTGACTATAAATAGTAATTTTAAATGAACATTTCATGTCTGGTATTTTATATTTTACTAACAAACAACAATAATACCAAAGAAATTAAATGTTTTGTGTATATAATGCAGTAATATACAGCTGGTTGGTTTCTTACATTATATTTAGATAGCATGATCAGGTAAGAAGTATGATCCACAATTTTTTTTTACAATTGTAGTGCATGTTACTTGTTTTGAGTCAAGCTACTGCAAAAAAAATTACCAAATTAATCCAGTGAACGTCAATGGTCTAATACTAAGTAACCAGGTCGGAATATTTTCAGTGTATTATTTAAGTTTTTTATTTAATTGCTTTGCACTAATGCTTTCATACTTTATTATTTATTTTCTTACATAAAATTTAAATCTACCCATTAAGTTACTCATTCATTACTTTTGATTTTATCTGTATAATTTATACTGATTATTATAATATTTTAATTAAGTGTTCTCAGCAGGCATAAGTAATATAAATGTTATCAATCTCCAATCACAAATGATAAAGTCAGTTATGTTCTTAACACAGCAACAAAATTATATCCCATTAACCGCATATTATTGAATGCGCTCATATTGATATAAGCTCAAAATACAATAATACAATGTCAATAACAAAATTAATATTTATAATATATTTTAAAATTATAGGTGCTGATATACCACTGCAACCCACCTACAGCAATCGACTCAATTCATCTGTGATCATAAGTATAGTCTTAGCTGTGCTGTTTACAATATTGGTCATTATAGACGTTTCTTGTTACTTTATCAATAATACAGGTTAGTTTTGTGTACATTAATATAGTATACAAATAATATGTTTTATTAAAGATATCATATTGTATGTTTAAAATAAAGTTATGGCTTATAATTTAGTTTTTACTATGAAAAAGAATTTATTAATTTTTTGAATAACTTTGTTAATAATATTAATTTAATTGTTAAATAGGTATTTTGTTCATTTTATTCAGTATGTGCTGTCGGAAAAAGAAAAGGGATGAAGACACTAAACTCGGAAGGTAAAATTTTCTAGGGCATTTCTAGCATTGTTCACACATTTTGGTATAATTACTAATTTGGGTTCTTTTATATTGCGTGTGTGTGCATAATTTAATAATTGGGCGGCCGAATAGACCAACATTGTGTTCACAAATAATACAAATATTACTTTGTTATGTGTTACCTATGCATACCTAATATGCAAATAGTCAATAGTAAACAATAACAATTTATATTATTATCGAGATACTGTTTTCTTTAAACCTTCAATATTACAATTAATAATTTTTTTCCCTTCATAGAAATTAATGTTTGTATTATAAGTATATTTATCTTTTTATATGTGAAAACAGAATTTTCTATTTACTTATTTAACTTTATTATTAAATATTTTACTTTCATTTAGATTTTATAAAAACGGTAAGATTAATTAAATTCAATTTATTAAAGCTAATTTCACTGAAGTAAATGAGCGAGAAATTGGGAGAGTTTAGCCTCTTAAAAATATAAAATATAATATGTATATTATACAATAACATATATTAGGGTGGGGTAATATATTAAATATCATTAGCTCTCCCAAAATTTTTATTCATTTCTGTTTTATACATTTTTGATTTTTATAATAAGTGTTTTCTCATAAATAGACTAACAAACAAAAAGCATAAAATACCATATCATTTTAAGTAATTATTGAATTTGTAATTTTTAAAATAATTAATTTGGATGAGTGAATCAAAAATGTTTTTCTATCAATCATCTTTAAAATTATTTGTATCATAAATTATAAGAAGATAATTCATTTATAAACCATAAAACTATGTAATAAACAAAAAGTTGGTTATAGAAATATTAAAATGTAAAGAAAACAGCACTTCATTAACACTATTTTGTTTGTGTAAAACCTCAAATATTGCTACATTATTCATGTTTTATGTCATTTGTATGTTAACCTTTGTAACCTTTTTAATAACCTTTTGTAGATAACTACATACATATCATTCATATATTTATACATACATTGATGTGTATATATATATAATTTTTTTTTTTTTTTTAATGAGGATGACTGTTTATTGCTACCCCTATAAATCTAAAACATTATGCATTTAATTGCATGTTAGATAAGTTTATTCAAAATTTTTTTCAAGTATAACTTTGATTGTTTGAACACAAAAACAGTTGAAAATACCCACGAAAAAAATGATAATCATTTATATTTCAATGAAACTTACTCATTTATTTACCCTTTACTGTATGCGGTGATTTAAAGTTAACAATATATCAACTATGAAAGTCATAGATATCCCAAATTTCCAAAAAAAAATTCTCAACAATTTTTTATTTAAATAAATACAAATTTTTCTATCAAATTACTTATCTTGTATATATTTTCTCACTGAGGCTTTTTCAATAGGGATATTACAGAGGGAAAGACATTAATCATTTAAACTTCAATTTGAATTTTGGCTCACTAAAAATATTTATTAAGGTTTTTTAGCTAAAAATTTAAAGTAAGAATTGTAAGTTTTTATTTTTGCCATATCCAGGAAATTATTTTCCCTGTCTATTTCTTCACTCTTGAAATTTTTATATTATTTATTTAATTTACATTGAGTATATTAAAATAACAAATTATGCCTATAGTGTCAATAAAAAAATGTTATTAATCACCGTGTACCGTGTATAAAATATTATTTAAATATCTCCCTATTATCCTGTTTTATTTTTGTTTAATAAATTATGGTGGTGGTAGACATAAAACTTTTCTATAATTTCATTTTAAGTTATTTTGAACCTAAAAACCATGCTGTTTAAAAATGTATCTTTCAAGTATGTATTTTTCATTTTAATGCAAGATAATGTAATCCTTATAATTTTTAATTTATTAATCAACTATAGTCAAAGTAAAAATTGAGACTAGAGTGTATGTTTTAAATTGAGGGCCCTTTTCAGTTTGTACGGTTGGCGTTTTCCTTTGCCGTATTGCAACAACAGCTATGGCGAATCATCTAGTAATGGAAACAGTTCTTGTTACACTTCCGACGTAGAGAAAGTCCCTTTGCCAGATATGAACTTTGTGTTGTAAGAAACGTGTTGTCTCTTAATTAATTTATTATTATTTGTTATGGTTTGGTTGCTTTTAATTCTTATATTTACTTTATTTTATGCTAATATACAACAACAAGTATTTTTCATAGCATTTTAAATATCTGTGTGCTTTGTGTGTGTGTGTGGGATATGTTTTCATATTATTTTATTTTAACAACTTTTAATCTTGTTGAAATAAAATTTTATGAGAATTATTGAATTCAAAGTATTAAATAATTTTGAATAAAGCACAGTACAAAAATAAATTGAGACTTATCTTCCCACAAAAAAAAAATCATTTTTTTGCTTTTAAATTTTATGAATACTTCTAATTTTACATAAAAAAAAAAAATTTACTTTAAAATCATATTTTATTATTATTTTTTGTACTGTACAAAATTTAACTATAATAATACTTTGGCATTTACATCTTTTTTCAGCAGTAATTAAGACTTTAAAAGTATAGGTCAATATTTGTCAAATAAATTGGTTGAGGTATATGGTGTGCTTTTCTAAAACTGATCATAAACATAACTAACAATTTGCTAAGCTTAAGCTTTTAGTTTTAAAATATACTAATGACTTGCTTTTAATTGAATTATGATCACAAAATAATCCCTATTCTTATTTTAGTGAAGGAAAAGAGTTATTAACTAATGGCAATACCTATCAAAGTAACAATTTGTGTATTGAACCAACTGAGACGTGAGTATTAAATTAGTATTAATTCAATATTTTCTTTAAAAAATAAAAATAAACCCTTTTATGCTATAGGTTAAAAAAGGACACAGAAGTAGAGTATGATATGAGGCGTTCAGTGTCACAAACTCGTTTTGTCGGTAAAGATTCTGCTGTCTAAAATTGATCAAAGTTTGATAAAATATAAAGTTTATGACTGACAATTAGATTAAAAAATTCTTAAAAAATAATATAACAAAGGACTGTTTTACTAGCATTTATTTTATTATTGTAGTGTTTTATACTACTGTTGCTTTTTCATCATTATATTTACGGTTAAATTTTATTTTAAGTATTTGTATTATTTTATTTTTATACAATACACGACAAAATACTCATTAAAGTATTTTAACAAACTTATCGTAACTAAAATATTACCTTAATTTTTTACATGATTTTGATCTGATATCGTAGCCAATTTGTATTTCAAGCATACAATATCAATATTGTATTAATATTAATGAAAAAACCAATCATTACTTACATTTTATGCTCTCTAAATTTCCTTTTAAAATCGAATAAAAATTATTTTCATTTTATGTCAACCTAATACTTGTTTGCTATTTTAACCAATTTTGTTATGTAGTCATTATGATATAATTATGAATATAATTTGTACTTATTAGTTTTAGAGATATTTAATATAAAAGGACATATTTACATGTTCAATTTACTGAGGAATTAATCGTATTATTATTATTATTATTATTTTGCTTGTTCCTATAAGTATGTAAAAGTTACTTACCAACTTGATGGATTATTTTTCATTACAATTTAGATTTTATAAAATTGATAAGTTAAAAGCCTTATGTGTTATTAATTTTTGTAATTTAATGTATCTTATACGTGTGTAGTTATTCTAATAAAAAAGTTAAAACATATTTTTAAAGACAAATATATTTTTTATATTTGTAATATCTGTTTGATGTAAAGGACATAAGTATATTGCAAAAAAAGTTTTTGACTATTAATATTTATTATGATTTATACATATATTTAAGTATGTGTATGCACTTAGGAGCTTTCTTCTTTCATTCTATAAAACTTGTTAATTTTGTAATTTTACTATTTTATTTGAATATAAAAGTTACTTTTCTTAAATTGAACAACTAATGCTTTCAATATCTGTGTGAAATGCTTATACAGACATAATAAATAAAAGATCTCGTATTAAAAAAAATTGACTCTTATGAAATATTCAATGTTTATATTTTTATTAAATAATTATCAATATTTTCAGACATCTATTTATATAATCAAGAGTTAAATATATTATAACATTTTGAATGATTAATAAATTACTTGTGGTACTGTACACTTGTATGTATACAAATAAAACTATTAAATATTATAATTTGTTTAATGCCAAAAAATTTGTATAATCAAATGGGTAACTATGTTACAAATATTGTACACTAAGTAATTTTTGTTTTAGTAAATTATAGTCTTATGAAATATAAAGTTAAATTACATGTATCCTTTGAAAATTTATGTATATCTAGTTTTAAATGCTATTGTGAATACAAATTTGTATGTAAAATACTGTGGTAAATTTTTGAAAATTATTTCATCTCCAATTTTTTATGGTAATCCAATATTATAATTATAATAAGAACTATTAATAGTGTATATAATTTATTTTGTAATTTTCAACCATAGTTAATAAAAGTGGGTTCATACAGAGTAAGACCTAATTGATTTCCAAATACTATTTAGCAAAAAATCACATGTCAAATATACATAAAATATAAATGTATTGAAAATAAATATAATTTTTTTATATCATTTGATTTTTTTCTTTTTAAAATTAATAAACCTAAATTTTGGGTAATATTAAATGAAATATATCTCTACAGTTTTTTAAATTAAAGAGAAAACTGTCATATATATTAGAGGATATTAAGATACTGTAATGTATGAATGATACAAGTATCATATTCTTCGTGTAATTGAGGCTGTGTAAGAATATTTTTTAAACTAGTATAAGCTTTAGCTGTTCCTAACATAATTCTAAACACTCTTGAATTAAAATTTATAAATCTAAGTGAAATTGGCAATTTTTTATTTTTGTACTCTTTACAAATTAAATCTTTGAGAAAACCCAGGACTTTTTTGGGAGGTTATTTTAGATAACTCTAACATAAACATTATTTTAACTTGATAGAATTAACTTAAGTTGGATTACTAAATAACATGAAAATATTGTAGAAATAAAAAATATATAGTCCACATTTTTATTATACAGTACATTTTACCAGATTAAATCAATTCTAGAATTTTATAAGAAAAATATTAAGAAATATTCGTATAAATAAGCATGCAAGATTTAAAAATATGCGAAAAAAAATTTTTAACTTTTTATTTTACAAGTTGACGCATTAAAAATAAATATAAATTTATATTGCTAAAAATGCAAATTTTATGTAACAGCTATGCAATTTTTTTCATATATTTAAAATTTTTGTAATTCGATTATTGGAAAATATGCATTTGCTTAATAATCTTTACTTACCACACAAGTTTTTTGCTCTCCGTGATGTGCTCTAGATAGATGTCCTGGTTCATTTTGTGCTATCATTATATGTGTAAAGATGATAAATTAAAACGATAGTGTTAATAATAAAAATTTTAAGTACAAACTTTATATTTCGACTAGTTTCAATGTTTGTTACCAAGTAAAAAGGTTTTTTAAAAATATTTATCTGAAACTGTGAGTGAACATATTAAGGTAACTTCAAATATAATAAACTTGAGTAAAATAAACAACTTAGAATATTTTATTTACTAATTGACTGATTATATTTACTTGATAACTATTGTTAAAGCGATAAATTATTATTATGAATGTCTGTGTTGGGATTTTGTTCTATGTGATATATTAGCTTCGATGCAAAGCTAAGAAGGTATTAGTTTTACTATGATGTGTTTTAGCTTCAATGCGAAGCTGAGAAGGTATTGGTTTTACTATGATGTGTTTTTTTTTTTTTTTGTGTCTGTTACCACTTTTTTCAGCTCTCATCGAACCAATTTCTTTCAATGATACGTCAAAAGATAACAAATTGTATCTAATCGAAGACATTACCCTCAAAAATTGAAAAAATTTCCCTGGTTCCCCGTAAATAGGGGAAATCTTCAAAAAATTACAAATTTAAAAACCGCTAATTTTTGACATTTTTTCAATTTTTTTTACTTAAAACTACCATAACTTCTTTTCTATATTCCTCTGCCTCCACCGTGCACCGTAATAAGCTTAATTCCCTTATGACTTCTTGTTTACGTACTATCTTAGGCGCCGTTTACTCTACCCCAAATATAAGTTTAGAAGTGGAATGCGCTTGTCCCCCCATCGAAGTTCGTTCTCGACTTCTAGCTTGTAAATTTCTTACTAAACAGTTATCCTATTCTGCCAACTCGATATTTAATAATTTTCATTCTCTATGCGCAGTTTGGCGCTATGTTCCCAAAACTCTTCCTTTACTTGCTTCAATCTCTTCGATTTTGACTCCGTACCTTAATATGATAATCACATCTTTAAATCGTTTTCCTATTTATGATGTCTCCTTCCTGGCTCTTATTTATTGCCCACCTATTCACTTTAACCATCACTTTCTTTCTTACTCAAAACTGCAATTACAATCTCTCCCTATTAATTTTGTTAATAATCTATTCAATGAGTTCTTATTCTCTAATTTCTCCAATTATTGTCTTATATTTACTGATGGTTCAGTAAGCTCTAATTCCGCTGGTTTCTCGTTCTTTATTCCTAGTCATAATATTAAATTCTCAGATATTCTCCCTTCACAATCTTGTTCTTTTACTACTGAGTGTTATGCCATTTCTTTGGCCCTTGAGCCTATTCAATCCTTCAATATTTCTAATGTTTTAATAATTATTGACTCTTTATCAGTCCTTTCTTCTCTCTCTTCTAATTCATTCAAAAAATCTAGATCTTTTCCTATTAAAATAAAATTGTTAATTTATAATCTTTTCTTAGCTAATACAAAAATCGAATTTTTATGGTGTCCTAGTCATGTGGGTATTTTTGGTAATGAGGAAGCTGACCATTTAGCCAAATTTACCAAATTCATTACCCGTCGTACAACCCTCAATATTCCATCATCCGACTTCGTTTCATTCCTCAATAAGACGATATTTCTAGCATGGCAAGAACATTGGTCTTCTCCATTCTCTCTCATCGCAGCTTGGCACAAATCAATTTCACCAACTATTCCAAATCATCCTTGGTTCCATAAACTTTCTCTCTCCCGGTTCCATATATTATCCTTTTCTCGACTAAGACTTGGTCATAATCGCCTTCCTTTTCATGCGTACAAAATGTCCCTTAACAATTCTCCTTTCTGTCCCAAACATGACGATGAAGTTCTCTGCGATTTTCCTCATATAATTTTTGACTGCTGTGCATTTGAAAGTAATCGTTCTATTTTATTTAATAATTTATCTCATCTTAATATCTCTCTTATTAATTGTTACACTATTCTTAACTCAACTTCTCTCGATGTAATAACTTTAGTTATTTCTTTCATTCATTCAGCTGGTTTTTTTATTTAACGATGTTTACTGTAATATTTTTTTGATGTAAGATCAATTGTACTATTTTTATTATTATTATTATTATTATATTTTTTTTCTTTTCTCATTTTATTTAATTGTTAAGCTATAATAATACTTTGTATTGAAGCTAATAAAAAAAAAAAACTTTAAAAAATGATCAAATCAATATATATTTTTTTTTAGATACATGAGGTACTTACCTATTATTTAGTATATTTTTTTTATAAATCTGTTTATAAATACTAGCCCACAGGGGAGATTCAAAATGACATTTTTTACACAAAAAATTAACTTTTTCTACTTAACTTTTGAAAGTGTTCCGGAAACTCTGACACTTTTATATATATCTTAAATTAAAGCTTATGTAATATACTTTATAATAGGAAAAAAAATTTCGGACTTTATCTTGTTTTCACGGTGAAAACAGATATCAAAGTTAATAAAAAAATAAGATTTTTGTAAAAAAATTCTTTTTTATATTTTTAATTTTATAGTGCTATAACTTTTTGAAAAATATATGGGTCATTACAATTTTTTTATGATAATTGCTATTTATAAACCTCTTTTATTCGACATACTTTTTTTTTAAATAAAACCATTTTTCTTTATATATGGCATGAATCGATTGATATCAGCTCCAAATCAATATACATAAAGAAGGCTTCTATTTTTGACAAAGTTGTCAAAAACGATGAAAACATCTACTAATCAAGTTATTAACCGTGGTAGTGATTAAACTTTTACATATTATCATTATTTAAATTTCTTGAATAATAAATTTAGTTAAAAAAACTGTGTAATTAATCAAATTATTATATTACTGATCTGTGTTATAGCCAGGAGTTTTGTTAGGAGAGGGCAGGGACGTGTATAAATAAGGTGCTACCTGGGGCAGCGTCCCTGGACATCCCTAAGACTTTTTGGTGCTCCTTGACTGATGAGCTCGATCTCTAAGAAGAATGATAATGTTATTTATAATTTATGTTCTTCCGTTTATGCATATTCTAATTTATTTAATAAACGAGATATTTAAGTGTTATTAGCAGTGGGGTATCGTTTGACAAATGTCTTATCAAGTGTTGTGACATCTAACCGCCTAATCATCTCGTATCAACTGATCAAATTGGTTGAATGTCGTAGAGTAGTATGTATACAATGTTTTATTTCTCTATCAAGCCGATCAAATCAAATAATGTTTTGGGCCATAATAGTAATAATTGGCCATTTAAGAGGCTATAGTCCATCTATTGGTCTCCTTCCTTGATTTAGTTTTGTATTCACGTCACTATTTTAATTATTGATAAATACATTTATTTGAATAAACTTGTTATGGATTTAGGTTGAAAAAATTAATACTGTTTGGATGCAAAAAAGAATCTTCTGTACCGAAGATATCAGATATCAAAACAGAACGTCATCTTGGCTACGTCACTGTTAATAATTCATTTAATTAAATAAATGTATATATAAATATATTAATCAACTTAAAACTATCAGGGTATAAAATGTGCTTAATAATATGAATAATCATTAAAATAAAATTAATATCTTTAATACCTACTTAGTTTCGCATCAAAGCTAAAATGAACTGAATTTCAAAGGAAATAGCCATAATTAGTATTTAAATATCAAATATACACATTTATAACAAAGTATTCTGAATGTTATCTTTTTTTTTAATTACAAAATGAGTTTGTTTATTTTGATTAACAACATATACGGAATAGAATTAAACAATTTTTTTTATGAAAATTATAATTTTGTAATAAAGTTACTATATAGAAAGTTATAACTCCATAATGATATTTATAATTATTAAGAATATAATTTGATATTTTTTTATTCGAATATTAGTATCCATAGAAGACTAAAATAGAATAGTAAAATACTTATTGCATTAGATTTTTATTCATGTTTGTAATAATGACCAATTTAATTGGAATTTGTTTATTTACAAATAAACTCCTCCAGAAATTTGAATTATACCCATAAATCGAAATTTTATTTTTACCATTATTGTATTTGTTTTCCTGGTTCATTGATTTAAATAATTCTAGCCTACCTAAAACTTATTAAATGTACACCAATAACATTATTTGTTTTAAAAGAAGCTGATAAACATTGGAATTTTTCTAAATTTATTTACTTATTAAACAACCAATTAAAACTTAAATATTTATTATAAAATAATAAAATAAAATAGTAATTAATTACTATTAAGTTTAATAGTAATATTAAAGTTACTCTATATAATTAGGTTTTATTACAACCGATAACTTTCAAATTCGTTTTGAGCTAATAATAACAATAACATTTGCTTGTATTATTAATAATTGTTATTTATGGAAACAACGTATTTATTAATTTATGAATTTCATGGTTTCCCAGGATTTGATAAAACATTGATAATGAACACAGTGTTTCGCACTAAACAAGTTTTAAGAGACTTCTCGGTAAAATTATTTTAAAATAAATATTCCTAGTCGACGTTTCAGTGTTGAAGTACTTGACTGACGTTCTGGAACTACCCAATTTACATTGAGCGTTTGCAAACTTAATTCAATCGGTGTTAGCCAACGTTGGGTAAAGTTAAGCATTATTTGTTTCGTTAAGAGTGGCGTGATTAATTACCAATAGAATAATTAACGAGTACAATTTGCTAAGATGTCCGGAAAGGCTGGTAAAATACCCGGAAGCGCAACAAAGACCAAATCGTCGCGTGCCGGCTTGCAGTTTCCAGTCGGCCGTATCCTGCGATTATTGAAAAAAGGCAACTACGCTGAACGTGTGGGCGCTGGTGCACCGGTGTATTTGGCGGCCGTTTTAGAGTACCTTTCGGCCGAAATTCTCGAGTTGGCCGGTAACGCTGCTCGGGACAACAAGAAGTCTCGGATCATACCCAGACACATACAGTTGGCCATACGTAACGACGAAGAGCTCAGCACGTTGTTAAGTGGCGTCACCATAGCCCAAGGTGGTGTACTGCCCAACATTCAAGCCATTCTGCTTCCCAAAAAGACCGAAAAGAAAACCAGCGATGACTAGTGACACATTGCGTTAGTTAAACTTGTAATTTATACATATATATTTATTTTTATAATTCTAATTTATTATATTATTTTGATTACTTTTAGAGATGTAGTTTTTATATAGATAAAATGATCGTATCGTTAAGAATATACCAATATCATATATGACATTAATAATATAGTTTTCTATTGGATACACAATTTAATGTGATTAATTAATTTTTTTTTAATTTCTGAACACCCCCCAAATGATTTTTCATTAGAAATTCATTATCAAATAATAATAATCTAGTTAAAATAAGACATCATACAGTAAAATAGTATTTAAGTAATAAAATTTAGAAGTTTTGAATGAAAAAACTTATTTTAAAAGAATTCATAAAATTATTGATTAGTTTAAAGTACAACTAAACTGAAAATATTTTATTTAAACCTTGGTAATGATACTTTTTTAACTTGAATTACTTATCTCCAAATACTAGTTTTAATCAATTAGATTAAATTACAGTTTATTAACTAAAATACTAGGAATTTTTATTAGTTTACCTCAAATTATTTGGATTTTACAGGGGTAAGGCACATAGCTAAAAGATACCTAAAGTTTACTTTGGATCTTTCAAAAACAAAATATAATTATATAATTAATAAGTATCTAAAATATTTAAGGGATTGTGTACTGTAAAAAAAAAATTTTATGCACTAAGATTACTCGTGAAATATTATAAATTGAAAATTTTCTAGTATTGATATACTGTTCGCTGGTGATGGTATGATGATGAAATACTTAAAATTGTTTTCAAGCTGTGTGCATGAATTACATTATAGAAGATAAAATAAATACAAATATAATTTATATTTTAATTTACTATTTAATATTTTGATAGATTTAATAATAATTAGTATAACTAACTTTTATGAAACATGATGAGTCATTAATCTTAAACCATAAATTCTCTTAAAACCATATACCTATATTTATCTATTATGACAAAACACTTATAACTATAAAAAAGGAAACCATAAAAATTAAACATCACAATATCAGTTAGTATTAGATAAATTATACAATAGAATCAAAAAAATATTATTATACTGGTACTTATGGAACACCAATGAACTTATATTACAAAGAAATAGCAGCCACAAAATTGTTGAGTTATTTAAGAATAATTTGAAATAAAAATTGTATAATTATTTTGAATATATATACTATATGAGTGGATTATATAAATTATTTTAGTATTTAACATAACTAACAAAAATAAGTTTTAATTAAGATGGAAGCCTTTCTCAAGTGTGGCTGCCAAAAGGCGTTCTCTTAAGGTCTGTTCATCTGGATACTCAGGTAATTTTAAATAATGAACACATGTATTTACTGATGGAAAGCTTCCTGCACCAGCATCAACTTTACGGACAACTGTAAGTCTAGGATAAAGGTTTGCCAAACCACCAGGTGGTAAGGATGAACAACCAGTGGTAAATTGTAGAAACGATTTCCTTTCTTCAGCATTCATTTGCTCTAACACATTTACTAATCTCAAGAATCCAGGACTAAGAAAAATAAAACAAACATAATTAAATAAATAATTGTATTAATTAATATTTTAATAAATAATGAAAAAAAGTTACCTTTCTCTGTTATATCCTAGTTTAGGTTCAGTGTAGTTCAATAAATCTTCTCTAGTCCATTCTGGTTCTTGTTGTCCACACAACATTCGTCTTAATTCTAAAGGTGTGAAAGCATTTAATTTTTCAATAGAAAAAACACGACAAAAACCAGCTTTTAATGCATCCATTTGTCTTTTTATTCCTTTTTCCAAAATAAAGTCAGTCATTAAACTAACATATTGCTCTACATTATCCATGGTGACATCCTTATTGAAACCTTCATCAACTAAATTTATATGAGTAAAAGGGAAGCAGTATGACGATGGAAGGTAGATCATGCTCAAACTTAAATTTTCTAAATTAACTTTTCCAGTATTACCACACTGAAATTGTAGTCTTTGAATTTGCTCTTGTTTCTCTTCACTACTCAGTGATTGATCTTGCATAATTTTTTCTTTTAATGAAATTAAATCTTTTAAATTTCTAATAAATGTTGCTTGTTCTTCATCAATATCAAACAAATCAGAATCATTAAGAATTCTGCAAAACCTTAAAAAT